TGAAGTGCAAACGGGGCTTTTAAGTATCTGCTAAACATGGATATGGATGGAGTTTGCTCATGACATTTGTTCCCTGTTTACCAAACTGGTTTTTGTTTAGTGAATGTATTTTCCTCCATCATATACAGAAGGATACAACTACATAATGTTGAGATTTATGGTTAAAGTCCGCATGAAACAAGGGGATACATTCCTCTTCAAGATTGTGAGGAAGAATAAAGGGGGCCGAGTTAACTAGCTGAAGATGAAACAACATTTGTGTGCCTCTCTATTTTTCCCCTGCTAATTATTACAGAGGGCTACATGAGACACAGAACATATGGTACATGACATATGACCCAAATAGCTCTTTACAGGAATAAACAAGCAGTCAAATGCTTGAACAGATTTTTGAAAATGTTATGCAAATACTTGAATAACTCTGTTGCTGCTGTGTTTGTCTCATGCAATCAGAAACTAGAAATATACTATACTATATTTGCAATTTCCAGAAACTGAATGTCATATTTTCATCTGCTTGATTTATAGCTAATGGTTCGCAACACAGCGATTAAAAATAAGGTGTCTGTTTGATCAGAAATGAAAACTTGCCCATGGTTGCTTGCTGCCATTCAAGCCTAATACAGGGTTGGTTGCAATGTGACTGCAATGGTAATGGGGAAACGTAGCTCTGTTCTCTGATGCTGAGTAGTGATTGAAGGCACTGACCTGCCATAGACTTATAATAGGGGAGCAGGTGTGGCAATGATGGACTTTAATTTCCTTTAATAAACCTTTTATGTGCCACACTTTTACTGCCATTCTATGCTCTCCAAGGTCCTGCACATAATAGGTTCATTACTTTTGATTACTATAGTCTATTGAGACAAACAACTCCAGAACACACTATATATTATGTTCAGTTAAACCAATACAGACTATTTATCCAATGTGCATTATTTCACCTGCAACTCTGCTGACAAAATTAACAGCCGCTCCTGTAAGCTAAAACTGTTTAAAACCACTGGTACTCCTTTGTCATCATTTCATAATAAATACCGCACTAATCACTACATTTCTCTTTTAACTGTGTAACAAAAAAAGGGGGGCTGCCTCTTTTTAAGCAGCAGTTACTTGGGGTTTTATTTTGTCATGAATATTTAAAAACCACACAATGGATGAAAACCAGCAGCCAAATCAATATAGGTGATTCTTTCTATTGATTTTCTTTCTTTAGGAAAATCATTTGAATTTATGACAGATGTTTAAACAGATTAAGATTAAACTGGCTAAGGCCTGTTTAGTATGATGAGCATAGCACTGTAAACCCATCATCATGGGCTGAGGGCGTCTGTTGCATATAAAACAGTCCACTCACACACAACTAAAAAAAAGAGGGGGGGAGCTTTATTTCTCAGGAAACTGGGTGTAATCCACATAGTACAACAACTGTGCAGTTTTCATTCATTTAAGTGGGTCTTTTGCAGGGCTATCAAATGAACTTGAGGGATTATTCCTACTGCCTTTGATAGAGACTGGTGCAATCTTATACTTGGTCTCCTCAGAAATTAGTCCCCTGGAGTTCAATGGGACTTACTTCCAGGGAAATGTCTACATTTCTGAAGCCTAAATTTCCTTCATATGACTTAACTTCAGTTACCTTACATTACCATACACCTTCCTAAAAAGGAAGTTGTTGTGAAATAAGCCACACTTCCAGGTAGGGCGGTTAGAATGTGGGTGGCACAACAACTTTTCATCATCAACTCTGGGGAGAATCTTTTATTTTTATGTTCAAAGGATATATCATTTTGTGTTTAATTCAAGGGAGACTGGTTTACATCAGTAGCAATAAATATGGCATAACTAGATATCATCATGACCCAACAGCCCAATGCTCTGCTATAACCAGCATCCTCTCGCAATCCATGACAATTAATAGATGACTATTTCGTCCCATCGCTTTAATTCTTAATTCTACATATTTGCAGAACATGTACTACTAGTACATAGAAAAGAATCAACTTACCATGACTCTTTGGGTTAACTTTATGTAGTACTGAAATTACTGGAAATAAAGAGTAGTCAGCCTCTCACAATATGCTTATGTCACTACAGGATATTTTCCCAAATAAGGCCCATGTTTAATAGGAAGTTTCATTATTTGTACCTAATTTATGCTGCAGTGCCTGGACCATTTGTTGTGGCCTCAGTGGGACTACTATGGAACTTCACTGAGGTGGGCATCCCTTAAATAGCATGGACAGGAGAAGACAATCATGCATGTGTTCAGTCAACACATGGGAGGGTCAATGAGACAACCATCTCCTCTTTGCAGACCTCCTTTATTATTCCAGTTTAAACCAGGCACTGTTTCTTTGCTTACTGCATCAAGGAACAGATTTAGGCCTAGTTTTCTAGCCTAGTCATCTCCTCAAATGTACTTTTCTAGATGCAGGTATGAGTTTCTTCATGCATGTTTTTATGTATTGTATGGAGGCAGTGAGGTGAGCTCTATCTCCAGTTTGAAGTGGTAGAGTCCAAGCTGGTTTACCAGCTTAGCAAGAACTTCAAGCAAATGCTACAGTGATGCAGCCATCTCCATAATGGTCAAAATGCCACACTGATAAGTTGTCCAGAATCCCATCTACTATTTCTTCCATTGCTCCCTGGAGTGGTGCATGGCACCACAAAAGTGACCAGATGAATACCCTTCAAGTGTGGAGGAGAAAGTGGGATCATCCCCAATTGCCAAGCCCCACATCACCAACTTCCATGCCAGCCGTCCCCATATGCTCATCAAAGGTAAGAAAGATTCTTGCTGCTCCCCCCAATAGTCCCTGGCTCACTGTGTCTGGGCTCACAAAGCAGGTTGAAAACTTCTATTCTGGGAAGTTATGCATAAGAGAAAAGTGTGGTGGAGGTAAAATAAGATCAGTAAGATATGTCATGTCATGCGCACCACAGGTTTAAAGTGTTCTGTGCTAAATTCTGAATAGGAAAAACAACTCTCTCCAGTAGAAATAGAAGAATTAGGACTTCCGGGGTGGCGCCACCGGCAATGGCGGACTCCCTCTGAACTGGAGGGACTAGCTCCGCGGGAAACGGGTCTTCTCTGCTACGGCGAAGCGGGGACCCTTTTAAAAATCACAGGCGGATGAAGCCTGTGACCATGGGACTCGGCGGGCACCATTAGCGCCCCCCCAACCCACTAAGGAACCCACTAACAGGCTCCGAAGTGAAGAGGGGGAAGTGGCGCGGTGCTGTGAGTCAACTGCTATTTCCGTGGAGCGAAGCCGCATAGCCGTTGCCGGAGAGCGCTGCCTTTTTCCTGGGACAATTTGGACTTTAAAATAAGCACCCGTGAGTACTTAGACTTTGAACAATTGGACATCAAATAAGGATTAGCGAGCAGAAAAGAATTGGATTTTAAAAACTTACTCTAATTTGGTACGGAACGGGAAGGTCTAAACAGGAAGTCAGCCTTCCGTTCTTTTGTAAACAGAATAAAGCAAAGACAATTTAAACTAGAGCTCAGAAAATCGTCTTTAAAGGATTGGATTTCACCATTTAAAATTGTGGAACCCCCCCTCGACAGCAGGAGAAGGGGGGGGGATCTTTTTGAACTGTTTAAAGTGACTTTAAAGTAAAGTAACTTTCCTCCGTCCTGATCCTGGAGCGGGTTGTCAGGACTGACGTTTGAAGTTCATTGACCAAAGACAAGTGTTTTTGACAGATAGCTAAAAGAAGAGAAACATAGTGATTCCACTGTTCCCCTTCGCATTTTAAAGGAATATATATTGACAAAGTATCTCAAAAAGGGAAACTTTGTTGCAAGAACAAATAGAAGTTTTCCCCCTAGAGGGAGTCTGTGAAACTGTAACCAACTCCAGGGAGCCGGCAGCTGTTACAGATTACAACCGTGGAAACAGGCATCTGACCTTGCAGGACAATGTATTCAGAAGCTTTGTTGTGTGCTCTTTATAAAACAAATGCCCTACTGGAACAATTACATGAGAAGGTGAATTGGATGGCGACTTCGACTAGAAATTTTGAACAGGCAGTGGGAAAATATGTGGAGCCCACTCAGGAATTAAATCAGGAGTGTGTCTTGACAGAACAGGCCCAACAGGAATATGAGTTTTCAGATTTGACAAATGAACTTGGAAAAAGCCAGATTTGGAAAGGAAAAGTTTGGTTTGGCTTGGAAATGGGGGGCTGGATTGACCCCCCTACGCTGGGACGTTTGGACTTTTCAAATATGGCAATGGGCCGTGAGATGTTTGGGTTTGTGGGGGCTCTTAATTTTGGAGGGTCTTTGAAACATGCTTTTAAATACTACATGGAATTCAGTGTTGAATATGGAAAAGGGGCTGATCTGTCGAGAAGGGTTAAGAACATTGTCAAGCTGGAGTTACCACGAGCAGGAGACAAGGGAAAATACAGTTACAAATATGAAAAAGAGTTGCGGAAGGGACATGGAAGAGACTTGAGGGCCTCGGATATAAGGTTGCCAGGATAATGGGCTAGATCGACGGGATAATAAGGACTGACAAAACCCGGAACCAGGAGGAAGGGACGTTGGATGAAGACTGGATTTGTTTGTATCTCTTTTCTCTACCATTAGAATTGTTTTATAAAATTGATGAATGTTAGAAAAATGTTGGAATGAAATTACTTGGCTTTAGCAAAGATGTTTAAAGAATTATGAAAGAATATTATGGTTATGAGAAGTTGGTAAGGATAAGATTTAAGTTTTAAGCTTTAAGGTTTATTTTATTATAGAAAGATAAGATTAAAACAGTTTAGGGTAATGTAATGACAGAATATCATGAAACATGGAAAGGATTTGCTAGGATAATTAACAACTAGGATACAAAGAAAGGGAGGAGGAGGAGGTCTAAGAAAGAAGGCAATGACAGTTAAGGATTTGAAAATAATGAATTTGTTTTTAAATGTTTTTAACGTTTTGTGATGTATTTTTGTATTTTTCTTTTTTTTCTGTCACTTTTTTTTATTTTGAATTTTTACTCATATGGTGGGAAGGGTTTTTTTTTTCTTTTTCTACTTTGTCAACTATTTTTATTTGTACTCTCTTTTGCTTCTATTTTATTTTTTCCTTTTTGTAACACTTTGAAAATTTCAATAAATATCTTTTTTTAAAAAAAGAAATAGAAGAATTAGAAGAAATAGAAGAAAGTAATATATTTCACTAACATTGTGCAGAAAAAAGAAGACAAAAATCCAAGCTTACATGGCTCCTGGACAGGGCCGTCTTTACCTGGAGGTGCAAGGGCACTCGGGCGCCGAATTCTGGAGGCGCCCGGCGCCCACTGCTGAAGCTGCCTAAGCTCTTAACTATCTACCTGTTATGAAATAATAAATAATTTTGATCAAGCTAGAAAAATAAAATACATATATACAGTGGTACCTCAGGTTAAGAACTTAATTCATTCTGCAGGTCTGTTCTTAACCTGAAACTGTTCTTAACATGAGGTACCACTTTAGCTAATGGGGCCTCCTGCTGCTGCCGCGCCGCTGGAACGATTTTTGTTCTCATCCTGAAGCAAAGTTCTTAACCCGAGGTAATATTTCTGGGTTACGGGAGTCTGTAACCTGAAGCATCTGTAAGCTGAAACGTCTGTAACCCGAGGTACCGCTGTACCTAGGTATTACCAAAACGTATACCTACTGTTTCACTAAAGGACTTTTGACTTTGTGCGCTCATTTACCAAAGACACGCCGTGCCAGCAGCAGCACTTGTCATTCACAATGGGGCGCTGGGCAGATCTTTGCACTTCAACAGCGCATATACTAAAGACCCCACTACTCCTGGAGGAGTAGCCAAGTTAGTCTGTTGCATCAAAAACAAGGAGTCAGATTTATTGTTGCATTGTTTTCTGCAGAAGAGCTACTTCATCAGATACATGTTGTTTTTACTTTTACAGTACAGTCTCCACCTATTACAAGAAGCTTTTCTGTTCATTAGAAAAACAAACCTAAAATTTGATGAATACCACTGCAGGGAAAATTGTTTTATTTTATTGTTCAGGTTTAAGAGATATAACAGCACTAGAGTTTATATATTAATATGAATGTTAATTATTTTTATGTAGAGTTTACAACATTATTCCCAATTTCTAAGTAAAGGCTGCCATATTAAGAATACTTACTGGGATGCGTATTTTGCAAACAGACATAAAATATATATTATGATTTAATCAAGACTTCCTTTAAGTATGTGTTCACACAATGGAGCATTAGAGTTCATTTGACACTAATGATTTTCATTTTAATAAGGCCTTCAAAGAGCTTTTATATTCACTGATGACAGGTAGTGTTTTATGACATCTTAAAATAAAAATATTATGCTTTGCCCTGAGTTTCTGGGAAGAGCCTTCATATCATTTTGGAGTGAAATGCAAAAAGATTATGTACAGTTAAGGTCCCCCCCCCCAAAAAAGTGTGCATTGTGGCTCTCCCATAAAAATCTATTTAAAAATGTTCATCTTTTCTTAATGGACAGTATTAGACAGAGAGAGAGAGAGAGAGCAAGAGAGAGAGAAATACAAATGGATCTGCCTTGCTGACAGCAGTTTAAGCCGATATCACTGGATAGGCACAATTTTGGTACCACTGAACTTTATACAGTAGTTCTAACAGCTTGAACCTAATGTGACCTGTCTGCTTGTCTTAATTTTAGCCTACATAATCAAGGCTGCAGTTCTGTAGTATCTCCAACTGAAGTCAGTGGAACTTCTGAGTAGACATGTAAACAATTGCATTGCAAAACACAAAGGTATGTGCTGTGCTGGAGCTCTTGGTGGGTGATCCCAGTGTAATTTTAAAAATAAAACGAAGACAGCCATCATCTGACCTAGTTTGGATTGAAGGTCATAACATAGGCATAGGAGTCCAACCCTTTGCCAAAACAACAACACCAGTCTAGATTTTTCTAGAAGCTATGGAAGGGGAAACTTGCAAGCTAAACTTTCATCAGAAGCTCCAAATGCACAACTCCTACTTAACATGCAGTATGGCCCTTGTATAACTAAGAGCCTCCACACTACATGTTAGGTTATTTTATATGTATAAAGCTAGCTACTAAAAAATCCTCTGCTTTTCCTCAGCAATGAAGTGCTTTCCTGAGCAAAGTGGCCTTCTATCACTTTCAAAATATATCCAGAAATGGTCTGCATACATATGAAGATCTATTGATGCCTTACTTCTAGATTACTCAACACTTGGGACAAAGTTCCTTCAGCATGTGCTTCTCACATAATGCCTCTGGGAGCAGCTCCCATGTTTTATATGATCATGGCAGTCTTAAGAAAAGAGTTGCTACTACCTCACAAGGTGTTGGAGCCAGATATATGGAGATAATAGTTCATGTCTTCAGTTCCTTATGTCATCCCAGCCCACTCCTGAGTCTACAGGTACCCAATTGCAGCCTCAGAAACCATCACCCAGAAGATGCTAGATGTATGAGCCAACACTCAATAACTTAAAGGCCAACTACATAAAATATTAAAAGGCAATCCTAATAATGTCTTACACAGAAGTAAATTTCATTCATGTCATTGGAGCTTAGTATCGGATAAATGTGTGTGTTTATAATATTGCAATTTAAATGTGTGACTGTATTTGTGCACCTTACTCCCTTTTAAAAAAAAAAAAATCACAAAAAATATCAAGGGAATGTGTTAATCCAGATCAGGATCCAGATCAGGATGATTAACCCTTTCCCATACTATTTCGCACTGAAAATCAGCTCAGTTGAAGCACCATTTGTATTCATATCATTTCCCCTTCCTTGGCAAATAGCAGCTGAAGGGAGAAATGCCATGGGAGAAAAAGTTGGTTCTTATGTTGTACCATGACCATGATCTGGACTGGAGCCATCACTTTTTATAGATATTGAAAATGATATTCAAGTATGATTACATATTTAGTGTGTCATCTAGTTTGGCCATCAGTCCAATGCCCCCACTGAAAAGGTTTGGGTTTGAGCTAACATATGGTGACACAAACATTTTATCTGTGGTGGTTAGTGTGATGGCTCATTCACCTCAGCAAAAAAGAGATGAGGAGAAAAAATTAAAAAGAAGAGACTAAGTCTCAAACTGGTACCGCTGAAAGGATAATTTATTAGTATTTGTAAAATGATTGGGGCATTCAGATAAAAACTGTTCAAGAGCACTGCAAATCACTAATATGTGAAATATAAACATTACAATGAATTCAAAATGCTGAAGCAAATCAATAAATGACCCCATGCTTGCAAGTCGCCACTTGATACTACAGCCTGTGAGTGATCAATACCTTTTTGGACTTTGAAAGAAAGTCGTAGAGCTGGGTAGTAGCTACCAAGCACAACTCGTTAGATTGAAAAGAGGGTAGTCCAAAAGCTAAGTCTTAAATGTTTATTATGTGTCCAGGGCAAGATCATGTGGTGCTGGAAATGGAGAAAAGTTCTGCTGCCAGGGATCAGGTTGTAAATCGGCATAAAATTTACTGGGTTATTATGAATAACAATGGTCACTTGTATATGTATGTCTTGGTTACAAACAAGATGTCAATTCACTTGCAATTTATACAATGTAGATCAAAAGGAAATTGTTGCCTAGAGGGAAGACTGAAGCCAAATCAACAAAATTGCATATGGAATCTTTAAATCTATTTAAAATAGGATGAATATTACTGTTTGGATAGGAGACTAAAGCCAAATCAACAAAAGTGTATATGAATGCTTTTAATCCATTTAAAGTAGGAGAAATATTATACTTCAAACACCCCCCCACTCTCTTAGTAGAAATCATACATTGTTATCTACAATGCAAAGGAAGTTGTTGAACAATGCAGACTATTGCTTCAAAAAAGGTCCATGACATATTTTTTAGCATTTGCCAAGAAACAATCTTAAGTATTCTTCTCTCCCCGCCCCTCCGTCATGAATTCTTTAGTCATGTATCACCCCCCCTTCAGCAGGTATAAAATGTAAAAATTGGATTGAAGGATCTTTTCAGTGATGTGTAGCTTTTTGGATTTTGATAACTTCTTTTTCAAACACAGTGTTTTCCATTTCAACATTATTGCTAGTGCTTCCCCAAAACGAAAAACAAATGGTGCAAATTTGACTGCTTCAGCTGTGTTACTATCCTCCCAAACTAAAATAAATAAGTCCAAACACTAAATCTAAATCTGAAAACAGATTCAATTTGAGACTACATACCGTGTAATCCATTCTAGGACACCATGATTACTGATGGCCAAATGCTATGTATATTTTTGAAGGAGTATTTTTCAAAGGGGGTCTAATATTTGAAAATGCATAACGGCGGAATAAATGTTAGACCAGAGACAAGCTTGGATGGTTCTGTAATGAGGATGATTTATTTTGATTCTCACTTCTGATTTCAGAGTTGTCACTGCTGTTGTGTTCCTCATCCATGCAACTTTGCACAACTGGCAGTGCTGAATATAAACCAAAGCCATATGTTTATGTCCTTTTGCCAAACGATTACAGCAAATAGTTCTATTATTCCCTTAGGTAACTAATGTGTGCCAAGGATTTCTATTAGTCTGCTTTACCAAGGCATCAGAGGGTAAAGTCGCAGCTTTATGAAATGAGGGGGCAGGTGCCAGCTTTATATTTTCAGAACAAATATGTAAAAAAAAATTATACCACATAAAAGATTGGACAGCACAAGCCGAAACAGAATCTTAATTTTTTAAAAAATAAATAAATATCTGTAGGATTCCTTTTACAATGAAATGTGTTTTTTGAATAGCCTATGACAGAAAACCATTTAAAATATAAATAGCAAACTATGTTTATGTGCAGTCAAGCACATGATGTGCACTGCAAACATTAAACATGTTAAACACATGCAAAACATGTGTGACATTGCAAACATGCAACATTTGGTGCATGTTTTGTGCTGTATTATTATTTTTAAATTCTTATAATGAAAATGGTACATATTAAAATATATTTTCAATTCTGATGAGTACATGCGGCTCTGAAAATATTGTTGCTGCTTGATCATTTGAGAATGAGACAGCATCAGAAGCGTCGGCCTGTTGTATTGAGAAGATGCTACATGGACCTATCAAATTTTGTTAAGAGTTTAAATGAAGCCAAAGTTTGGAAGTCATAATGAGATTTCCAAATGGAACAGCAGCTCAGTAAATGAAATCACATACTTTCCACTCAAAACTAAACACTAAATGCATTCTCCCACCTTTGCTTGCTTCGGAGCAAAATTATGTGCAAATTCCAAATGACCAAATCCGTCTCTCGGACCAAAATGTCTTGTTTGACTTAACAGATAATCCAAAAATTCATTCTCTGTAAGAAAGAATGCAAAATGAATGAGCAAAATCACAGACCAAGCAGGAGGAACGTGTGCTAAATTTCTTCTCCCCGCCTGTCCTGTTATCAGCGTACATGTGAAGAGTCTGCCCTGTGCTTTTCAGTGGGTAAACTTCCATTACTTTGAAAAGAATTGTAAGTGCACCTATACAAAATTCAATCCTGCTCTTAAAATAGTTTTATATTTTCAGGATCTGATGCTAACATTTGAGCACACATGGTAGATGTGAGCATTATAAATTTAAGTTATGGAGAATTAAATTGTTCTGTTTAAAACTAAGAAGGAAACTTGCTACTTAACTGACACCTACATTATATATTTGGAAATAAGATGCATAGATTTTACAAAAGAGTACTTAATTTTGCATAAGAGAGCCAGAGGAGAGGAGAGGCTAGAAGAGGAACAGCTGCTGCTGGACTCAACTCCCATCAGTCCCAGCTACCGGGACCAAGGATGATGGGAGCTGTAGCAAAGCAACGTCTGGAGGGCAATGGGTTGTCTACTCCTGTGCTAGAGGGTTAGACTTGAAAGACATTCTGTGATGACTCATTTAATAAATACTGGTCTTTCTTTCTTTTTGCAGTATATTGCAATGGTTGGATGAAACGACCTTGGATAAGGGATACTTATAAAGTAGCCCAAAGTTACTGTCCAGTGCTCCATCTCCATAGAATTAAAACTTAAACAGTTCTTTAGCAGTTCTATCACTGTGCAGAGTAGAACCTGTTTGAGAAAGGAAGGGGGCACCAATGAGTCTTTATAGGCAACGACAGCTGCAAAGCAGGGCTTAATAATTTGTGCAATGGCTCAGTGTTAGAGCTTAAAGAAGGGGGAAGTGCACGATGTAGGAATAAATAGAAATATCCTGAGCAGGCGCAGAGTGCATTTCCTTCATCACTGAATTAATGACAAGGAGTCTGCACATATCAGAACTAATAGGTAAGAATGTCCAAATCATAGGTCAATGTAGACTTGAGACCCAACGTGACTTTTTCTAGAAATTAAATGCTCATGTTACAAAGGGAACACTGATATAATGATGATGATTAAATGTACCACCATCAATATATGCAGCATTTTACAGAGTAGCAACATGGTGTTAGGCAAACACAAGGAGTTAACAGTCTAAAATTCCACACAAAGTCAGCTATAGAGGAAAGGAAGGAAGATGATGCTTACGGTAAAAAAGAGAATAATATGCTGAAGGAGCACATCTAAGGGGCGAAATAAGGATTTCTTGGTTAGAGATCTAGGACCAGCAAGTATGCCTCGCCCCAAGGACTGAGGTCAGGTTTTAGTCAAGTTAGCATAAGTCACTATTTATGTCACTACATTTTAAGTTGATTCATGGGATTGTTTTGGTTATCATATTAAATCAATGTCTGGCTTAACTATTTGCAACATTCAGTCCCCCATCTTTTACATAAGTTTTATATAATGATTCATTACTGGAAGACCGCCAGCTAGATGGCTTTAAAAGGGGGTTAGATAAATTAATGGTGGATAAGGTTATCAATGACTATTAGTCATGGTTCTCTCCAGTATCATGGGTAATATGCCTCTGAGTACCAGATGCTGGGATTCACAAGTGCTCTTGTGCTCATGTCCTCCTTGTGGGCTTCCCTTAGGCACCTGGCTGTCCACTGTGAGAACAGAATGCTGGACTGTGTAGATTTTGAGTATGATGCAGCAGGGCTTGTCTTATGTTCTTATCAATGCAGTACACCAGATAAAGTGAAGCTCACTTGGTACATTAAAGTTGTCATGTAAATTAAAGAAGCCAGAAGTGTTAATGTTAATCCCTCAAGATATACAAGCTACATTAACACTTAAGGAATCAAATTGAATAACTTGCATTTGCGTATCTACCTGCAGCACCAATGCTAACCTGAGAGTTTTTGATATTGAATAGTTTGCTTACTGTTCTCTAAATAAGAAGACAGCAGCAGAAGATGAGTGCTCAGAAATTACTCTGAATCTAGTTCTTTGAGAAAGTTTACATTAGTGTCAATTTGTTCTTTTAATATTGAAAGTTGAAAAAATGTTATTTAGTAATGCTAAACTTTGGGTACACTCCCTTGTTCTGGAAATACTACTACTATTATTATTATTAGCTCAACTGGACATGATAGGACCATTTCAACTGTGCAAGAAAAGTTCTTGATGGACTGTGACCAATTTGTCTTGTTTTCAGAAATGGAAATGCCTGTGTCCTGGCTGCTTCAGATCAATTCTGCCCTGTCCCCCACAGAATACAATAACACCTCTTTTCAATTTCCTAGATTGAATATAGTCTATTATCTGTCCCTTTGACATGGTAGCTTAGAACATTTTCAGAAGTGTTCTGGAAATAATACTCTAGAACTTAACAATTAGGGTGGTTTCCAACAAACTGTACTCAGTGTACACCTACTGAAATCAGTGGACTTGGGTAAGTCCATTGCAGCCAGTGCAGTTCACAGTAAAGATCTGCGCTTTAACATTTATGCACAAATTTATCATGGTATGAGTTTACTTTTTTGTAGTTTGACAAGTTTGATACAATCATATTTATAAATTATATTTCAGCCACTGAAATAAAAAATTCTACTTTTCTGAGATATTACACATAGACACACACACACACACACACACACACACACACACACACAATTTTGGCATGGTTCTCACTGCTCCTAGGCTTCTAATTTCTAACATGTCAAACAAAGAAAAGTTTAGCAAGTACACACAGCACTGAGTGAACATTACAGCTAAGAGGAGGGAAATGATCCAACTAACTAAAAGGATGTTAATCTTATAATAGACATGCTACTCAAAAAAATAGGTTGTGTGCCCTGATAAGATTTTAATTTACTAATCTTGTTCTGTACAAGAGCCACTTTGCACCTGCCTCTGTCCTTTTGTTTGCAACACATTATCCTAAAACAAAGGATCCCTGAATGAAGCCCTTTCTATATCTTTAAATTTAGCAGCCTTTTCTCCCTCTCTAATGCTCCATCAGGTTATATATTTATTAGCAATACATTTTCCACTTATTTTCTCAAAGATTGCCAATAAAGCACTAAATCACATAAGGGAGTAGCTGTAAACCCTTGGAGTTCCCCAATGTCAAACTCATTAGCATCCGAATAACCACACAGCAGCACATCATCTGCACAATTGTAAATTTTACTACTTTTAAATAGCATTTCTCAAAAGGCTCATTTTCAACTTTCTTCAGTGGTTGGCTCTCAGGGGGCAAGGCGCTTCCTGACGCTCGCAGCTTCAACTCAACAACCGGGCCGTTTACTGTCAGAAGCGTCAGTCCTCTGCCCTAACCCCATCTGCTGTCTCTTGCTTCCTAAGGGACCGAGAGTTAAGACAGCACAGCTGAGATCCACTTAGGAAAGTGCACAGAGGGCAGGGGCGGGTGGAACTTTGCAGACTGACTACAAAGTGCAATAGATTTCTGACTGAGGCAGCGATGCTGCAAAAACGGCTCTGGAAAGTATCACGAAGCTGTAGGGATTTCCTAACCCCTTGACATTAGACAACATGATGAGCTGGGTTTCATCTTGATTGAAGGCCTCAGTCATTTCAAAGAGACTCCAGTATTTTGCTCTTGATGATGGACCAGTGCAGCCCGCAAGTCTTACGGATAAAAGAAAAAACACCTCTTTGATGGAAGATTAGCTTTTGAAATGATATTCGATGTATTTGTTAACTATTTTCACATCCTTCACATATTTAGGCTATGCGTGTGTGAGCCTCAAAAGATGACAATTGTTTTGAAATGTAGGAAGGCATGTTGTACCAAGTCAGATACCTTGTCCACCTTAGTTTAATATTGTCTGAATAATGTCAAGCAGTGGTTCTCTGGGATCACAGACAGATGTTTTCCCCAGCCCTCCCTGAAGTTTCCAGGCACTAACAGGGTGCTCTGCTATTGCACTGTGGACCTTCCCCCCAAACACATTAAGGCCTTCATACAGCACTGGGCTTTTCTCCATTAACCAATGAGTCAATGTCACAGCACCTTCAATCAGCCTTCAGACAGATTGGCCCTCCACTCTTTTCATCATTAAATAGACCTAGGAAGATTATTGTGAGTTTTATATTCATGGTCACAGAAGCAGCAGATGGAGACAAGCCAGCACTCCTGCTGGTGTGATTGCACCACATCACCCCTTCCTTCCCAGTAAGCAACAGTGATCCACCTACCAGGAAGCTAGCACAGCAGTTCTGTCCCACCCATCTTGCAGCTTATGCATGGTCATGCTTATGGTACAGTGAAACAAGCAAACTGGCCAGTCACTTATTGAGCATGTGAACATCTGAGCTGGAATAAATGAATATGTTTTTGGATGCTCCCTTGCCATATTTCATGATTGTGAAGATTATTTTACAAATATTGCTGTACTGTTTGATACAGTTGCACGCTTGAGGCTCTCACCATGACATGTTCTAATGAACATATGCAGTGCTTTTTTCTGGGGTAAAGCGTGACACTTACTGTAACAATTTTGTGGTGACCACTGGCACCTTTTTTAAAAAAGGGGAGGGAAGCACTGGTGGCAGCAGGAGTGCCACAGCAAAATAGTCTCTTGCAAGGAGAACAGTGTTTCTTCCCCATCCACTTTCATCCTTAGGTTAGGGGATTAGGCCTATGGACCTGTTAGGCCTGAGAATATAGGTTCATGGCAACCCATGAACATTGGCCCAATTTCAAAAGCTCTCTGCAAGCTATCACTTTAAACCTGGGGGGGGGATATACATCTGTCCCACCTCCTGCTGCCTGCTGTGTGTAAAGGAAGGTGTGGAGAGACAAAAGAGGTTCACAAAAAAGAGAGAAAAGTGGGTAACCCCCACACTTTTATCCTCTACTGGCTTAAACCCTACCCACAGCCAGGGTGCATTATCCTGGAGGGAAGGTGGTCCTCAAAAGACAAAAGGCTCTTCACACCTAGTATAGGCCTCAGAGTCCAAAGTTTCTATGAGACAAATGCCTGTGGCAGTTAGATTGTTTGGCATGCTGAGAGGGCTCACTCCTTTAACTGCTCTGAAATCAGGTACCTACTCCCAAACCAACCAGCTTAAATTTGCCTTATCGCAAGTGAATAAATAGGTATGGGAGAGGTATGCCAAGCCAAACTCTTTTTCAGCGACCATAGCTTCCCATTTGGATAATATATTCCAGAGAGCTGTGGCAACTCACTACACTTTTGCATTATATTTTCCCCTACCTTGTTGCAAGTCTCTACTTTAAGCTGCTCAAACCCACCAGGCCTAATTTGCACCCTCCTCAAGTGTATTTGCCAGGTTAAAATGTGTCTGATCATTCTTGCTTGCCTTGATACACAGGATATTTGATGATGTCCGCAATCAAGCCTATTGTGTGAAGGTAGCACTAACATTTGTTTCTCTGTCTACTTTTGCTTCTGGACCTTTGTAGGAGGTTGTGCAGAAGGAAGGGAATTCATCCTTCATCCTTACACCCTTATGTAAAGCCAGGATTGCAGTGAACACATCTATCTTAAGGGCAGGGGGGGGGGAGGTGTGATACTTGAGAAGCTGGCCCTATGCACATCACCTCTCCAAAAGTTTTGTGTCTATCATAAATTCAGCTTTCAGTTTGGGAATGTGAGCAAGTGCCATGAGTGTGCTGATTGCTTTCAAACATAACAAAGGAAGGATCCCTGTCTGAAATAATACCAAAGATCCTTCACAATTCAATCCTTTCCCTATCCTCAACACCATCAGAAGACACATCATTATTATTTATTTAATTTATATACTGCCCTATACCCAGAGGTCTCAGGGTGGTTCACAGAATAGGGCCAATTCACATGATCCCCCCATATGAGTTGAAGATGCAAACTAGCAGAATCCAGAACTGGGCTCTGCTAGTGTGTACTGCATTTTTTTTCTTTTTAAATAACACTTTATTGATTTTTCCAAAAATAAAAAACAGCAATGCGAAAAACAACAACACAAATTGACTTCCTTCTAATCCCTTCATTGGTTCTTTATCAAGATACTGCATGTATTTAAATCATCTATCCATTCATAATAAAATTACAAGTAATCTTAAAACCCTGCTAAAGTATTAACCTGTGTACATTGCTTTTGTATATATGCAATAAACATCTTCCATTCTTCCTTAAATTCATTATCATCTCTTCCTCTTAATTTCATCATCAATTTTGCCATTTCAGCGTATTCCATTAGTTTAACTTGCCAATCTTTAGATGGGACACCTTCTTCTTTCCAATATTGTGCTAATAAAGTCCATGGGGCCAATGTGTACTGCAAATTTTCAGTGTGTGTCAACATAGCTGCCAGCATGATTTGCCCTATGACTACATGTTAACCAAATGCACAGAAAGTTGCATTCAAAAAGTCCACACATTCAGGTGTTTAGATGGCAATACTGTTGAGGGAAGTTGAAAGATGTTAATATTAGTTAACCTTTACCACTTACATGTTATAGGGTGGGGCATGGCATATGGCATGTATGCTCTAAATTCTGCAT